AGAAAACCCAATCATCTAAGATTAACACATCGGATCTTTGACGAAAATGCAGAAAAGGTAAAACTTGTTAGCAGAGCATTGAAAAGTTGTAAGCCTAACCGATTGCCAGCTTAGCATTGCCACATTATTTTAGTTTCCTTTTTGAAAAACCTTTTTAAATCATGTTGTGTTCACCCCAATAAAAAATTTCCAAATTGGCACTATGACGAGGAAACTTTTCGTGGGAGTACATAATGACTAATTGTGGTAACATTATAACATTGTGGTAAAATTCATCATTCTTTTCAAACCTCTGCATGATAACAGAACCAAGTAGAAATATCGAAGCGGCCCTGAGCCCCGGTGAGTTAGTGCTAGTCACCTTTCTTGCGAGGCATCGGTGAGCGCACTCAGGCATTAAACTGATTTGTGGTTTTATTTGCGTCTTACTGCATGTCATCTGCATTTACTTTACACACTTGTTCGGCTCTCGGAGATATGTGAAAAGCGTATGCAAACAATGGTGGCAACAAAAACAACAACAATAAAACTGCTACACTTAATAAATAGGATTTGAAATGTGGCAACACAGGATCTAACAAGTTGTAAGAGCTGACTGATAAATGTGGTTATATAAATGTATGTATATGTTTGTGTGTGTGAGTGAGTGAGTGTATGAGGACAGAGTAAATCGCATAACAATTTACTTGAAATGCACATAATTCGGTCATCTGTCGGAAAACCAGTTTGGAGAGATAATCCGAGCTTGAGTGCCAACAGCGGTTTTTGTCCATACATCAGGCATATGAAGATGTGTGTGTGTGTGAGACTTAAGTTGTGGCGACAACTGGACACTTTCGGTTAGAGCGGATGTCAGGAATAAAGCACTAAAGTATTTAGCTGGATACATATGAAAACATGTTTAAACACTTATAAAGGGTGCCACAAATCTTTGTCGAAGTAGATACCGCTTACACAGTTATGTCATCCGAAGCCGTTGTTTTCTTTTCATCGGGGGCATTTTTTACGTGGCGGGTTCCAAACCCGGCACACACCCTTGGGGAAGCATGATTCGCCTTCTCACTTTTGCTCGCCTTAAACGGATGTTCCTTGAATACTTGTTCAGAGGATATTTGGTCTAAAATAGGAAGTCGTGAGCTTACCTCAAATCACACAGTAACAAGATTGAATTGTCAAAAGCAATGACTCACAAATTCCTAAGAATTGGATGAATTTCTAGAAGTAGACTCCACAATCTGCGCCAACTACTGTGGGATAAGCCTACTCAACATCGCAAATAAGGTTCTATCGAGCGTACTGTGTGGAATATTAAAGCCCACTGTCATCAAACTGATTGGACTTTATCAGTGCGGCTTTAGGTCCGAAAAATCAGCAAATGCCCAGATCTTCACCATGCGCAAAATCTTGGAAAAGACCAGTGAAAAGAGGATCCATATACACCATATACATCGTCAATTTCAAAGCTGCTTTTGACAGCATGACAGGGAACTGTCTGAATTTGGTATCCCCGCGAAATTAATACGGATGTGTTAACTAACATTGAAGCAATACCAGAAGCTCCGTCAGGATCGGGAAGAGCCTCTCCGAGTCGTTCGATACCAAACAAGACAAGGCTGCTCTCTTTGTTGAGACTTCTTCAATTTGCTATTGGAGAAAATAATTTGAGCTGCAGAGCTTACTCGAGCAGGTACAATCTTCTATAAGAGTGTACAGTTGCTAGGGTATGTCGATGATGTGGATACCTTTGGCCTCAACAACCGCGCCGTTAGTTCTGCTTTCTCCAAACTGGATATGGATGCGAAGCAGATGGGCCTAGCAGTGAACGAAGGCTAGACGAAACATCTTCTGTCATCAAACAAACAGTCGTCGCACTCCTGAAGAGGCTCCGACGTCACTGTTGATAAGCATATCTTCGAAGTCGTATATAATTTCGTCTATCTTGGAACCTTCATTAAAACCAACAACAAGTAAGTTACAAAATAGTCCGCAAAATAACTCTTCCAACAGGTGATACTTCGGACTGAGTATACAATTGAGAAGTAAAGTCCTCTCTCGATGAACAAAGACCAAATTCTACAAGTCACTCATCAACCCAATCCAGCTATACGGAACAAATTCATGGATGAGCACGACATCTGAAGTATCGACGCTACGAGTTTTCGAGTTCTGCGAAGGATTTATGGTCTTTTGCGCATTAGCAACGGCGAAGATCGCATTCGATGGAACGATGAAATGTATGAGATGTACGACGGCATTGGCATAGTTCAACGAATTAAAAGACAGCGGCTACGCCGGATAGGTCATGCCGTCGGGGGAAGCAGAGGAAAAGGAAGACTTCCTTGGCTACGCTTGGAATCTCCCGTTTTCGCCAAAAAGCGAAAAGGAAAAACGACTGGTGCGCTATTTTAAAATCGTATACAGTCGCGTAAGAGGTGTCTACGCCAGTAAAGAAAACGCAAAACTATAAATTGACATTTGTTAGTGGAGTATATAACATACAACAGTTTCCGCTCATTGCGAGATAAACTGACTCAATGTAACCATGCCCGTCTGCACAAAGAATCCAGATATCGATCTCAAATTTCGCACACGTCTTTTTCTTCTTAAGCAGCTACTCATTTGTCGGAACCACAGATATCGGACAACTATAACATAAAGCTGTCATAGAAACGGGCCGATGAAACTCAAGTCCTTATGTGCAAAATTTTTCAATTTGTCAAGATGTCTTCAAGAAATTTGGCGGAGGATGTTGTCCAAGAAAACGCTACAAACTCCAAACGAATTGCTCAGATTGAATCACTATAGCATATAGCTGACCGATAAAATTAAGACAAAATTTATGATATAAAAAATGCAGCTGTGAATGGTATGAAGTTAACGTTTCTTTTTGTTTTTGTATCGATGATTAATGGATTCCACAAGACATCATGTATATAAGACCGTTGCACATAACCTATTTGGTTAATTTTTATTCAAGAAAAAGTTCCGTAAGTATGAGTTCCTATTTGGCCCTTTTTGTACAATTATATTCTCGCTGATATTCAATGTGTTTGCTCCTCTTAAGTACGATCCTATGGAACTGTGTTCATGGTTAGGACGCGAACCGATGATCGTAATATCGAAAACTGTTACAAAGTGGAGACTTGTGGTAACTTTCGTGATAGAAGCTCTGCCAGATCGAATATATTTAGATATATTTATTTATTGAAAACTACAAGATCTAGCTCCAGTGAGTTGATTGAACTCTTTCACTCACTTTTTCACTTATGACTGACTGGAACTGTATTGAATTTAAAACTATTTTAATAGTAGTTCAATCAGTTTTTCTCATTCCTGATATATTAAATGTATCAATAGTTATACGGATTTAATTTTCTTCTAGGCTAGAAAGGCAACGGTAAATCGTAATTCGGACTTACATGAATTCTGCATTCAATCGAATCCTTGAGAACATGCATACACCTGTATTCAGACAGCTGTAGACCACAAGTTGCACATTATCATTTGCTCCATCATCATTCGCATCCGTGCAAAAATTCAAGTGGCATGCGGTTTGAGTCCACTTCAAGCCTTCATACTGACGTTGGCAGGCAATCGATAGCACATTTGTACCGCAAGCAGCACTAGCAGCCTGATAGAGCCGACAATGGCATTGTGGTAAGAAAATAGGATTTTGGGAGTATATATGTGGCTTATGATTTTCCTGAGTCTTGCAAACACGCTTGACTTCGTGTCGGCTATGACTTATGTACATAGCTTAAGGAGTGTATGGAAACAACTCAAGGAGGAAATCTGCTGCTTTATATATTTATTTATATTGTATAAATTTTGTATTCACCATACATATGTATGTGTATGAATAATAGCCAAATAACTTGAGAAACTTAATTGAATGATAAATCATTCGAAGCAAGTGTTTAATTAAAGATGAGAGATCAAGCAGCAGTCATTTGTGTTTCTGGGTCGAAATTCCCAAAAATTGTTAAAGGCACATATATACATATATTTGAAACTTATTCAGCTGCGACTTATGTGGTCAACGTCTGAGGACGGGTGAAAATGTTGATGACAAGAGCGCAAGTTTTGAGAAAAATGTAGGTGTAGACGATTAACAGGGTTTAACCGTAGCCGAAAGCAGTTATCTAGATAATGCAATAGCATGATAATATTTCATCCCCGAAGCGCTGTCAAACCTTATGATTTTGCGCTTGGTTTGCACCTCGACAAACTATCCATACCAAACCGACGTTTAGCGAGCATCTTTCAAGCAGAAGTCTTTGGTATACGTCAGTGTGCAGAATCGTTATACTTGGCGATGGTCAAGCGGCACTAAAGGCGATCTCAACGTATGAGGAACCGCCTATCAGTGTGCAACCGAGTACACCTAATCTGGGTGCCGGGGCATACCGCGGTATCTGGCAATGAGCAGGCCGATGAAGTAGCCCGCTCTGCGGCAGTGTCCAGGATGATGTGGCCAGAACCGTGGATTGCAGTGGTGCCCCACACTTTAAAGGAGCTGCTCCGCAAGGAGGATAAAGTGGGTAGAGGTTTAAGGAAATGATCGACCTCCCTCGAGACAAATTTCACCTATTTATAGGCTGAGGAAGCACTTATCCAAAATGGGCATAGTCTCTTGCGCAAACTGCCGGTTTTGCGACAAATTTACAGCAGCAGGCTCAAGAGCCTAGGGTCCACCTACATGGACAGGGATCACATCACCTCAAATGAAGTCTCTTGTCATTCTACAATCGACCAACTTTGTCATCTTTTAGAGTATAATGCTGTCCGCGAATTTTGGTGAGATATTCCCGAGCTTTGTATGATCTGTGAATTCTTATAACAGTAATTTTCATATTTTGTAATATCTCTGTAGTTTCAAAGGGCAGATCAAAAGTTATAAAGAACCGTTACAATGCTCTCTTGACGCATTTCATATGGCATCAGAAAATAAAGAGTATCAGAAAAAGTCATAATATACAAAATTTCCTTCAAAAACTCACCTGATAGAAGCTGTAGTTATTGGCGATCGCGTCACCATGTGCCCGCTGATGTTGATACCACGAATAGGCGCGTTTCGCTGGCGAGATAAGAATCGATACGATCTTTGCATGCGGCAGCAGAGCGTGTGCACGTTTTGGCACTGCTTCACCATCGAAATAGGTCGCACTTTTCTCAAACATATAACGCGTTGGGGTGGCCACGGTGGTGTTGCTGTTCGAGTCGGACGGGAAGAAGTCCATGTACCAGTCGAGGCCACGATAATAGTTGTTGCCATTAAAGAATTGTATTTCTTCGAATGTGTCGGGGCTGGGTATATTACTAGTGATGCTCGAGTGCATAGAGAGGAATGTGTAGAGTGCAGTTGTACCCGTTTTCTGTGGACCAATCACTAGAAATTTGGGTAATGAATCACAGCTTTTCTTCTTCGACCAGATTTTCTTATGGCGTGGATCGTCACACGGATTACCCCAAACGGGATCCACTTCTTCGGGATGCAGACGGAAATACATTTCCGCTAATTGTATGGGCGGCGCTGAGCTGAGTTTCAGATTAGTCCAGCATTGCAGGAACTTTATTACCGATTGGAACGTATATAAAGCCAGCCGATCCGAGCCATAGTTCGACATATGTGTCATGAAAATATTTATCGGATTATAGACTATAGTTTGGAAGAGTTCACCACCCTGTATCGATTCGTCAAGCTTGTCACGTCCGCCTGGATAGCGATCGATGTACATGGTGTGCGTGAAGAGACCACATGTCTGCCGTGGCAACACCATTATGTCACGGTGTATAAAGCCACGCCGTAAGCGTGCGGGTCGCAAATGCGGATACTCTTCCGTGGACGTGACTTTCACATTCCAAATATTCTTCCACGCTATGTACAGTATTTCATGCGCCGGGTATACGCCCGAATGATGCGGCGATATTGAGTAGCCGGAGTCAGTAGGTATGTTGTGCTCCTTGGCAAAGGCGTAATTCAGTTGCATCTCTGACATAAGCAAAGTCAGATTGTCATAAAGGTGCGGCTGTTGATGCTTCCACATGTGCGAGAACCAATTGAATTCCTGCACATTACGCAACAAATAGTCATCGCCCAAATTCTCTTCGCGCTCGCCGTGATGATAGAACTTGCCGGAGAAACCCAAGTTGAAGCGGAAACCCGGCACCATCGACGCAATAATACGCTGTGTGGCTATCAGTGCCTGCACATCGTCCGGACGCAGGCGCGTACCGCGCTCACCCACGAAAATATCGTCGATATCCACTAATATCATACGTTCAAGGCTTAAGCTCAGCTGACCGTGACTCAAGTACGACAGCGCGTCCAGAAATAGTAAGCGGTGTAGCCAGAAACGCAAACTACTGCCGAAAAACACGCGCTGTATGCCATCAAAATGGCCATGATCTTGCAGCACAGTGGTGAGTGGTAATTGCACTTGACCATCGCTGTCCGATGGAAAGTCCTGTGTGTTACGCTGCGCCCATTCCACCGGTTCGTAGGTGGTGTGATTGTGTTGGAAGACGGCCCAGTCATCGCCGGGTAAAGCGCCCCACGCCGTTTCACCGGCACGCGTCAGACGCAACACTGGCGAGGCGGGATTGAGACTGGCGTCGCGTAGGCGCAAATTCGTATGTATGTAGAGTGGAAAACCGCGCAACTGTGCCGCCACCAAAGTCTCCTCGCTCGGGCTGACAAAACCTACTATGCCGACGGAGTATTCACGACAGTATTTATCGAGTAGCTCACGATTCCATTTGTCCATATTCAAGTATTTGTCGAGGTTTTCGAAAACGATCACCCCGTAGCGGCCCTTGTCGAGATTCGTTAACACAGGAAGACTTTTGCCAGCCACTTCGATTTTGTACCTGTAAAAATAAGAATAGACAGTTGGAGTACGGCGCTCAACAAAACCAGTGTTAATATTACTATAACTACTTTATAAAAGGAAGAATGTTAAAAAAAGATGTATTGCATAGTTCTCAATTAAACAAAACTTCATTCGAAGTTGATCAATTTGGTTTGTTATTTCATAATGAACAGACTTATTAGGGAAATCGTGCAAACTCCGAGAAATCATGGATCAGTTTCGCACCACGTTTACTTTAAGGACGATGCGTATCCTCAGAGACGCGTGCAGTGCGCTCCAAAGACGCTTTTGCTTCTGTTTGCCAGAGTATCGAAGAAAACCCGAATAAGTCCATCCCCCATCGATCAACCATCGCGTCGCACGTTTGGTGAATGGAACCAAAGCGAGATGGCCGTCTATCAGTATTTTCACAAGAAAAATTTATTCAGCGAAAAAACTCACTTTTGGTTGAATAGTTACGTGCCTGAATTGGAGGATTTTAATGAAGACGACCTTAGGTTCCAACAAGGCGGCGCTACATGCCATACAGCGAATGTATTGAAAGTATTGAAAGAAGCTATTGGTAGCTTTCCAAAGTTCTAGGATTTAACATCGCTGCCGACTATATTTGTGCTATTTGGTGAATGTATTAAAGATTCCCAGTCAAGCTCTCCCACTGTGTGTCCCAAGATGTGTGTGCTTTAGTCCCGATGGAAGAAGAAGCCTTTCTGTTGATCAGTTTTGGCTTTTCCGATTGCTTGCTTCAATCATCAGTTGTTGACACTAAAATGTAGAATCAATCGGGCCTTTCTAGGGTTAATCCTAGCTTTGCGACCACTTATTGAGCTTCAACACGCTTGGACTATAATCTTTTTCGCACATCATTGTCGTATTTGATCCACTTTTCGTCTCCTGTTACCATTCGCTTCCGAAATAGTTCGATTTCATTTCTTTTCAGCAAAGAATCGCAGGTGTTAAATTCCTTAGCGGTATTATGGCTGCYTATGTGATGGTCCTGGTCAATCTTTTCAATAATTTCATTGACTTTTTCAACTATAAGTCGACTAGAGCGAGGTACATCTTCCCAAGAAACTTCTGGCTGATATGAAATGAGGTTATGGCCCTAATTGTTGCTTAGATGAAGGGGGCTAGCTGCGCGGCTTTCCTAACAGGAAAGACCTTTGCTTGAAATATACTTCAGTGGAACCGGCAGCCTTATGCCTAACTCTGGATATATTGCTGAACCTACTACATTCTCCATTTTCGATCCATCCGTACATTTGTTTAATGTGTTGCTAATATACCTTTACGCCAACCAAATCTAAATGAAGTATAGAAATATATGTATGCCTATTATCGTGCTGTTGATGCATTTTATGAAATATTGAACAGTCAGAGTAAAAAGATATTAACTTTGCCATAATTTTCATGTTTCCATTACAAAAACTTTTGCAAAAAATCCAATTTTATATTTTACAATCGGTATTAATAATAACAAGGTTTATTATGCATAATAAGAGTTAACACCTTTCCACTGTGGGCACAAGTAGAGAGATTAGAAATAGTATGTATTTCAAGAAATTTGATTTATGTTTTTGACAAGATAGATTTTCCAAATAATTTAAGAATTATTTTAGTTTAACGCCAAAAGTTTCAGGGCTATTAGCCTCGCCTCGTTTTTGTTGAAGAAACCGGAAAGGCTTTTGGATTGCTCTTCGGAGACAGCATACCAATAGGCATGAAATAAGAGGCGCCTACAGCAGCGTAATGATGGTAGATACGGCTCAGCACGTTGTTGTGCCATTGATGGAGGGAACCCTCGTGCATAGAGAGTATGCGATAGGGAAACTTCCCTACATTGAGAAAACATTAAACAATGTGTGGCGGGTAGCGGTCACAGGTACCTTGGATAGGTTTGAGGTCGAAACTAACCTCAAGAATCTCAAATAATGTTTTCTCTGAAGGTCAATAGAAGCACTTAAGTTAGTTCTGTCTCTTTTACTTTAGATCTTAATGCCGATAGATGCATTGAAAAACTTCTTATAGAAAGCGGTTGGTTGACATCTTATCGTTGTTGCTCACGGCGAAAATTCCTGGATACCGTTTATGAGTTAAGAAGCGTACCTTAATATTGTAGCTAGCTAATGTCTCAAATACGTCCTTTACTATAAAGCAATACATTTAACAGAAAGAATCAGTAGAATCCTAGAAGATTATATGTGTATCCAGTTAGGTTCATCTTTTTTGATAATGTACACCAGTGAGCAATGTTATCTTGTGCTGTCAGCGGCTGAAACATTTACTCATAATCTCAATGGTTATTTTTGAGTGCTAATTTGATTGAAAAAGTAAAAAAGTTATGCATTGTGATCTTTCGAACTTCTGAAATGAAAACATTACTAAAGTCACCACGTATAAATTTTAGTCATAATTGAGAGTGATTATGGTGCCTCAACAGATTTCTTCATGGAAGGAAAAACAAAAAAGAATACAATTTATATATAATATTTGCAGTTTCAAAGTGCAAAATCCCTTATTCATCAACTTCATGGTACCATAACGGAATTTATGATATTATCGACTGTAATTAAGGGAATCTCAGACCACGTTTAGGTACTACCCTAATACATATTCCTGGATATTATAGACAAGTCGAGCATATCCATAACTGCGAATATTGGACGCACTAACTAAACATCGCCTGGCTCAAGCTGGAGTCTTTGACCGGCAATGTTTTCTATTACGTATTTATACAATGAAATGGCACAGGATATATGCCAATGGCACAATAATACACACACCCGTACGCATGCACACAAATTACATTTTAAATACAGTTTAGTATATGCTCCATTAGTTGCGTTGCATACTAGCAGGCGTGCGGATGAACTATTTGCATGCTGATGTGCCATATTTTCTAAGGTAGTGTGTGTGTATCCTGCGGAAGTGGTGCTTTCAGTACGCCCGTAGCTGCAAAAACTATTTTCCCCACACACACTCACACACTTGTAATGGGAATAATTTAAACGGGCGACGCAGAATGCCTGGAATCACATTAACTGCGCCCTAAACTAAACTATTGACCAGACAGCTACTCGCAATTCCATAAGCTACTACACAATTTCATTATGCTCGGTGAACCTTTTGGGCCTATGCCCTGCAGACTTGTGTGTGTGTGTGTGTGCGTGTCATTTATTGCCCAGCCGCTGTATGCTCGGGCAATCGCGGCATTGCCACTGGCAAAATGCGTTGCCACGCAGGTCATTGTGGTCATAGCGGGCATTGTAGTGGTAAATGCTGCTGTTATACGGTGAATTTTGGTGCTGTTGTTGTTATCGATATTGTGTACGTGCTGTGTGTGGTATCCGCTGACATGCCGACATGTGCACTTTTGCATAGTTTTAGGCGGGTAAAGCCTGCGAAAGCGCATTAAATGCCTGCTTGCACATGCAAATGATGTGTATATGTGTGAGAAAATTATAGTTTTTTATGCATAATATTTTAATAAACCTGTTTGGTACTTAATTACAATCCTATCAGCACATTGAAAGCATACATTGAGGCGTGCATAACTCAAAAGCTATATATGTACGTATTAGTGTATGTGCATGTATATCGTTCGATTTTTGCGGAGGTAAGAGGCTCGCCATATGCCAATAATATGCTTATTCGCCAACACAGCACTGCTCATTGCATTAAGCGCCTGAAAGCAGGCTTTAATTTTCTGCCCTTAAGCCGCAATACATGCTGCGGTGTAAATTTTTATGCCTCCGTTAGAGAGTGTGTGCGTGCACGCTCGAGCGCGTGAAAAACGATTTGTAACATGTGCCGCCGCAATGCACCACTCCTGTTAGTCTATTTTTTCATGTCCACATTGTCAACGTTGTATGTTTGCTTTCAGTTTTTTTTTTTTTTTTTTGGTTTTTGAAAAACATTTTTTCCCATTTCGCTCAAACTCTGAAATGTAAACGCAACCCAATCACAGGCCTCCCAGCATCGACGGAAAAAACTTCAATTAAAATACCGCAACATATGCCGGCAACAAAAAGCCTAACACACCATAAAAAGTAAATTAAGAATTGAAGCGCGGCAAAAAATGACAAAACTAAACACACATACACACAAACATAGCGATGAACAAACCATGCGTGAAATAAATAAACAACGCATATACATACACACTCACGGTAAGCGTACAACACTTGCCGAAATCGAAAATCATCAGCGGCAAGAATTGAAAAAGTGGGTTGGCACAGCCTCGAAATGCTATGGAGCCGCTTTTTAGTATCACTGCTCGGCATTTATGCTTTCACAAACTTCTTATTTACCAAAAACTTCAAAAATTTGTATGTATTGAAAAGTTTCAGAATATTTTATGGCGCTGAAATATTTTAGGTTTTAATTCCCTCGAATTTTCACTGAAATTCGTATGTAAGAAGACTTTAACTGACAATATTCCGCGAATATTTCTCTGGAGTATATTGAAGCACTTATGAATTCAGCTTATCTGACTTGAAAATCGTGGATTTTTCTAAAATATTGTCTTTTAAGTATTGGTTTTTAGAAATATTTAGAAATAATAAAATTATATTAGAAATTTTTTCAAAGCTTTCACAATGCAGCTGGAACTTTCATAGCGACCTTCACTAATTGGTAAATAATATTAATTCTTTTTCAATACGAAAAAAAAATATTTTTTTTTAAATTAATATACAAAATAATAGCGAAATGGTATGAGCTTTCACTATAAGGCTGTAAGCTTTTACAATTTATTATATTTTTAATTCGAAAAAAGTTTTAAAACATAATGCAATTATATACTTTCTCAAAAATATGAGATTTTGCTATAATGTAGGAGGCTTCATTAAGTAGTACCCTTTTAATTCGCAACAATATTTGCGAAATGGTATAAGCTTTCACTATGGGTACGAGATTTCATAATTTTTTTTCAGCTCAAAAATGTGAGCTGAAACATTTAATACTTTATAAAAACAAAAAAAAAAAAAAAAGGAATCGAAA